CAAGCAACAACATCGCCCAATGCACAGATGGTGTGTCTGCTTTGTCACCTCTTGAAGCATGTCTATTTCCTCCAACTTCGTGTTTCCAACCTTCAGCCCTCTCCATGATCCTCCACAGCCATCCTGTCCCCTCCCTACATGGTGTGTACTGCCCTCAACTTTCAGGCTTGTAGAAGTAAGCGAGCCTAGTAATCGCATCCACAATATCAGCTGACTCGTCCATCATAATTACAGCAGMTGTCCCTAAACCCGTTTGGACAGCTTGGAGTGCATCAAAATCCATCAACACATCATCACATATGTGCTTTGGAATCAGTGGAACAGAAGAACCCCCTGGTATCACTGCAAGCAAATTATCCCATCCACCTCTAACTCCTCCACAGTGCCTCTCTATCAGCTCCTTCAATGGAATACTCATCTCCTCTTCATTTGTACAAGACTTATTCACTTGGCCTGAGACACAGAATAGCTTTGTCCCAGAATTGTTCTTCCTGCCAAAACTAGAAAACCATTCAGGACCACACCTTAACATGGTGGGGGAAACAGCCACAGTTTCAACATTTGTAACAGTTGTTGGACATCCATATAGCCCTGCCTTAGCTTGAAAAGGAGGCTTCAACCTTGGTTTTTCTTGTTTTCCTTCAAGGCTTTCCAACAATGCCGTCTCTTCTCCACAAATGTAAGCATCAGCCCCATAGTGGATATAAACATCAAAATCAGATCCAGGTGGAAAACCCCTGTTATGTCCCTCATGTTGTAAGTTACGTATCATAGCATGCAAAGATACCTGAGAAGAACAGAGAGAAGGATCGCCCTGTAATTTCACCCGGACACCTCCCAAATTGAGCTTCATAGACATGTTGCCCCAATTCATCACTGAGTCCCCGAGGGATGCTAACCAAGGAAAACCAAGAATGACATCCGTAGAGCCCAACTTTAAAGGAAAGAAATCAGCAATGACATCCAATTCGGGTAAGTTGAGGCAAACCTAATGGCAGACTCCGGAAGTTCTCACCTCCTCACCATTTCCCATCTGAACTCCAAATTCGTGTGTAGGGGTGCGTTTCAATTCTTTCGCTAAAGTTTCGGAGATAAAGTTGTGGGATGCACCCGAGTCTACCAATATGACCACCTCACGTGACAAAATGCGTCCATGTACCTTAAGGGAATTTGCCGYACACAACCCAACAAGAGACGAAACACAAAGCGCGGCTGATTCTGGAGCCGGAGCAATTTTAGTGTCCCCGGAAGTGCAGTCCAAATTAGACGCATCAGAAGTAATTTCCTCCACATCATCTTGAACCCATAAAACCTGAAGTGATTTCTAAGCACAACGGTGTCCCGGGCTGTATTTCTCGTCGCAACGGAAGCATAGACCTTTCGCACGTTTCTGCTGCATCTCTTTATCGGTCATCTTTTTGAAAGCAGGAGGTGGGGCCTTAATAACAGGGGCTGATGAAGAAGGAGGGATTGCGGCACGTGCAGGTCGGGTGACAGCAAGAGTAGTCACTTGCGAAACCCGTGAGTTAAAGTGGGTTCCAGAGAGGGATGTTGTGGGCCCACGAGGAAATGAACCTGATTGATAAGCCCATAAGGCCTAATTCTTCTCCTCAATTTTCTGGGCTGCAACCATTTTTCTGATCAGCCCAACGGGTTCCATCTGTCGGAGTTCGGCTTGGATATCTGGGCGCAACCCATTAACAAAGGCTGCTTCAAGGACTGATTCTGGCAGGTCACGTAAGGGAGCGGAGAGCACCTCGAATTGGCGACGATATTCCTTAACAGTAG